CATATTGCAGCCTCCTAATCAAATTTGTTACCTGCAACAAGTGAATTACAATAATCAAGCCTAGATGTTATAAAGGCATGAATAAGCCTTTCTGCATCAGGCATAGAGAGAAACAGCCTTATACGGGCAATATTCTGAAGATGATAAAAAGCTACTTTAGTAATGTTCTTAAAATGAGTGTTAAAAGTCAGCTTTGCATCAAAAATCACACCCAAATTCTGCACATGTACAGAAGGGAGAATCTGGCAATCATCCACTGTAAGTTTTAAATTATTACATCTATTTACAGCAGTTGAAGTGCCAATCAATAGAACTTCAGTTTTTTTAACAGTTTAACTGCAGGAAGTTCTGTTTCATCCAGGCCTGTATTTCCAGTAAACAAGCAGATAAAGTTGAAAGTGCTGATGTAACATCAGGTTGAGTACTAATGTATTTTTTTAACAGTTTAACTGTAGGAAGTTCTGTTTCATCCAGACCTGTATTTCCAGTAAACAAGCAGATAAAGTTGAAAGTGCTGATGTAACATCAGGTTGAGTACTAATGTAAATCTGGGTATCATCTGCATAGCAATGATAACCCACACCATACTTTTGAATAATCTGCCCAAGAAGCAACATGTAAATTCTAAAAAGAGTAGGACCCAATACCGACCCCTGAGGGACACCCTGCCGCAATGGAGCAGTCTGAGATCTGTTTGCACCAGAATAGACAAATTGAGTGCGTTCTAAAATATGTGATTCAAACCATTTTACACCAGAAAGACCAATCCACTTATGTAATCTGTCCAGTAGTATAGTGTGACAAATGGTATCGAATATGCAGCACTGAGATCTAACAAAACCAAAATGCCACAAGCCCCAGAATCTGCTGCAACAAAGAGATCATTCATTACCCTCAAAAGGGCAGTCTCCGTACTGTGTCCAGACCTAAACCCTGATTGAAAAGGTTCTAGTAGTCTGCTCGCAGAGAAATGATTTTGTAGCTGACCAACTACCACGCGCTCAAGAACCTTAGCAACGAATGGCAAGTTTGAGATAGGCCTATAATTAGACATGTCGGCAGTATCACTCCCACAATTTTTAA